GCTTAAATTTACTTTAACCTAAGCATTATTTTTTGCATCGTTAGTACGATGATGATAGTAATGGGAATATGCTTATTTTGATAATTATTCAAGAAAGCGCAATAGAAAGTATTCAGTTCAGTGCCTCGTAGATGTTCAGTAAGTGCTGGTTAAAATTAAAGCTTACTAGTTTCTTTGACTCTTTAAGTGGACTAAAACATGTTTCAGAAAGTGAAAGAATACTGGAATTGAGAAATAAAGTGATGAAAAAAGTTAGAATCAGCTCTTCTCTATGTGATAAAGATAAAATATTTTTTTCCCCTCAAAAGTAGAGTATGGCCATTTGATCAGGCAAAGGAAACAAAGTCCACTAACATAAGTTTTATTAGTCTTCATCTGAAACTTTCAACCAATATGACAAGTCAAGGAAAAGGTAAAAGTACTCGCAATAATGAGACAAATGTGTCATTATTTGCTGGTAGGTAGGAAACCTCTGACTGTGACTGGGATTAGTAACAGAACTGATAACATGTATCTCCATCCTGGTTTCTCTTCTCCAGTCTTTACATCCAGCTACCTCTTGTACAACTGATTGTGGTTAAAATTGGACTTGTTCAAACATGTTGCTCATTTGTTTCTGAATTAAACAACAGCAGCATCTGCCTGGTTGCTTAAGCAACCTGAGTGCGCCCGTCTATCTTCTTTATTTTGCAGGTTCATGTATATCTACACACAAACAGCTATACATACATACATGCATAATAGGTTCATATATATCTACACACAAACAGCTATACATACATACATAATAGGTTCATATATATCTACTCTGTTTCCCCGAAAATAAGACAGTGTCTTATATTAATTTTTGCTCCCAAAGATGCGCTAAGTTTTATTTTCAGGGGATGTCTTATTTTTCCATGAAGAAGAATACTGTACACATTTATTGTTAAATGAAAATAAAGGAAATTTATTACCTGTATATGGTACGGTAGTAAGGTAGTTGTCAACACAAACCAGACAAACTGTGAATCCTACAGTATCATGAATTTACTCATTTATTCTATGACAGTCATGTCATCATCTTCTGGAATATCATCATAACAATCCAATCCTGAATTTCCTGGTGAATTTCTTGTGACTCCATTTCTTTCAGAATCAGTGGACCAAATCTCTCATCTTTAGCCTAGGGGGGGGGGGGGGCTTATTTTTGGAGGATGCCTTATATTTCACTCAGAAGGAAACCTGTAAGTAGGTCTTATTTTCAGAGGATGTCTTATTTTCGGGGAAACACTGTACACACAGCTATACATACATACATACATACATACATACATGCATACATACATCTACCAGACATTTATGGAGTACTTGCTATGTTCCAGGCCTTATTCTTGGTGCTTAGAATAGTGAACAAAATATCTACTTTATTTATTTACTTAAAAAATATTTTTTAATTCATTTCAGAAAAGAAGGAAGAGGGAGACAGAGACAAACATCAATGATGAGAGAGAACCATTGATCGGCTGCCTCCTGCACACTCCACACTGGGGTCCGAGCATGAAACCTGGGCATGTACCATGACCTCTTGGTTCATAGGTCTATGTTCAACCACTGAGCCATGCAGGCTGGGCCAAAATTTCTACTTTTAAAGGATTTGTTTTCTAATAGGGGAAGAGATACAATATCCAATTTATAGTATGTGAGAGTTAAGTGCTTTGGAGGAGGGAATAAAAGGTAAGAATGATGGTGATAGAAATACAGTGGTTGGGGTTGCTGTTCTGTACAAACCAGTAAGGGAATCTTTTCCATTAAGGTTTAACAGGATTTTTCCAATGCACTATAGTGAAGAGACTAGAGTTGGTCAAGCCTGGATATAGGAGATGAGTTAGGTTAGGAAGCAGTTTTAGTCCAAGTGAGAAAGAATGGTAGCCACAAGCAGGGAGAAGTAATAGACAGGGAGATATAAAGAATGCTTATTTTAGTGAATATTTTGTAGTTAGAATTGGCGGATTCACTGATTGATTTGAATAGGGTTTTCAAAGAAAGGAGGATGAATTCAACCTTATTGACTTGAGAAATTGCAACATCATTTTCTTTGATGAGGAAACTGTTGAAAGAATAGGTGTGAAAGTGTGTGTTTGTGTGTGTATGTGTATGTGTGTATGCGTGTGGTTTTGGATATATCAAATTGAATGTACCTATAAGACATCAAGGTAGAGATGTAGAGAGTAGGCAGTTGGATATTCAGGTCTGTAATTCAGGAGACAGAGGTGGGCTGGATTTCACTTTTGGAGCTCTTCTCTCCATCTCAGTTGTTGCTGCTCTAGGTGAGGGTGCCATTTACAGTCATTTGGATTAATATTACTCCCTTCTGTCTTGCCCTCCACCATTACTTTTACCACTCTTTCAATTCACCTCAACAGCCTGAGTTTTTCTTTAAATGCAGTTATTTTGCTATCACATACTTATACCTTAAATAGCTCCTCAGTGCTTGGAGGATAAAATCCAGACTTCTTAACCTTGTTTAAAAGGTCTTGCATGATCTGGTGCCTGATTAGTTTCTGGTGTCATTTATTTCCATTCAGTATTTTCTGCTCATTATTCTCACTTCTTTTTGTGCCCTTCATGTTCTTGCACCTTTTCTACATTCAAACACTATTCTTCCACTACTTGACCTTTCTCCCTCCATCCCCACATCTTCTCACCTAGCTATGTCTTTTTTTCTTGTAAGCTTTTTATTATAATAGATATAATTTATTCCATGAAGACTGTCCCTGACAAGTATGGGTTCAGGGGCTATTCTTTATTCTGTGGTTCTTACCAAAACATAGCAGATGTATCTGTGTATTATAATTGCCACTTACTTTGTGTTCACCTCTGTTGGTTCTTAAATTCTGTGCTAGATAAAATAGTGTTATTTCTGTATTGCGTAGCACAGACCCGTCTAGTTGGTGCTTATAAAAAATAAACAAGGGTCAAAGTGCATGAATTCATGCACCTTGAAAGGAACTTGGGATGCAAGGCTATGGTGGCACAGGGGAGGTTCTCGGCCCATCCTCTGTGCCCCTGCCCAGCCTCTGCTGCTGCGGCCGTGGGTCCCTTGTCTTCTGGCAGCCCCACTTCCCACTGTCGCCATTCCTGCGTGCTAACAGCACCAGCCACACTCACACCTGCTGACAGCACGGAGTGATCGGGTCTAGCACCAGCAGCAGGTGCAAGCAGGGCCAGTGCTGTCAGCAGGTGAGAGCGGAGGCTACTGTTCCAGTTGTCCATCAGGAGCAGAGGGAGGTGGAGAAGCCCCGAGGGGTGATTGCAACTGGCAGCTGCTGCTGGCACCCACTGAGGAGCCAAGCAATTGGGACTGGTGCAGGGCACCAGCTGTGGGTGTGAACAGTGACTCCGATGCCAGATGCAGGTGTGTGCGAGGCCAGCGCTGGCAGTGGGTCCAAGCAGCAACTCTGGTGCCTGCAGCAGGTATGAGAGGCAGCTGCTGGCCCCAGACACCCCTCAGGAGCAGGGGGGAGTGGAGAAGTCCTGAGGGGTGATCAGGTCCAGCAGCTGCCACTCACACCCGCTGACAGCACTGAGCGATTGGGGCCGGCACTGGATGCTGCCAGCAGGTGTGAGGGGGCCAGCGCCAGCAGCAGATATGAGCTCTGGATGGGACCTTCACGCACGAGAGCAAAGAATTTTCAGTAACCACCAGAGGCTCACCCCAGTGACAGTGACCAGTGCCCTGCCTTGGTCTGGCACGCCTGCTCACCTGCTCCACTATCCTGCCACAGACGATGCCTGCCATTTTCTGTGGCCTGCTGCCTGCTGCCCATGTCCACCATGTTCCGCTCCTGCCCTCTGGTGGTCAGTGCATGTCATAGCAATGGGTTATTTGGTTTGTTTACTGTTCGGTCTATTTGCATATTAGCCTTTTTTAAATATAGGATTCTTTTTGTTGAATGAAAGAATAAGTAAAGCCTGGTCAGGGCTGGGCCAGCTGGGGGGAGGGGCCACAGGTGATTGGCCAGTGGGCCCAGTCCCCGATTGGGGTGGAGGGTAAGTGGGAGTGGGGCTGACAGGTGGAGGGGCTGTGGGCCGATTGGGGATGGGGCTGGCTGGGGGAAGGGCCCTGAGGGAGCATGGGTAGCGGCCTCTCTGCCCTTTATTGGGGTGGGAAAGGTCGATCGGGCAGGACTGGCTGGGAGGAGGGGCCATGGAAGGTTGGCTGGGTTCGTTGGCCGCAGTGGGCATCATAGTGACCGGTTGTTACAGCGTTCCAGTTGCTGGCTTTTTATATTTATAGACTAGAGGCCTGGTGTACAAAATTCATTCACAGGGCATGGGAGCAGGACTTCAGACCGACCACTGTCTCGAACTCAGGGACATCCCTCTTGCAATCCGGGACCACTGGCTCCTAACTGCTCACCTGCCTGCCTATTCACCCCTAACCACTCTGCCTGCTTGCCTCATCACCCCTAACCACTTGCCTTCCTGCCTGATTGCCTCTAACCACCTCTTCCTCAGCTTCCACAGCTTCATCCAGAAGGACGTTCTGATGTCTGGTTTCATTAGCATATTATGCCTTTATTATTATGGATAGATAAGCATGGTGTATCAAACATAAAAGAGCTGTATGCCTGTTTTTATTTAGCATTTTTATAGCTAATTTCTTCACTTATCTTAAGTGTAAGTCTATATATATATTTTATAATTGTATCTTGTATACTGTTCAAATGAGCTAACATTCAGTGGGATTGGTTTCCACAGTGTACATTAGGTTTATTTTTGTTACTCCTGTTAGACCTTTAAATATTTAATCTTAATAGTTTTTCTATCATAAGAGCTACTAGTGCCTATCTGAAATAGTTTAGGTCTTGGGATACCTATTAATTATTGTTATAACTATGTGATTTAAAAATGTATTATCTTTTTTGAAATTATTTCATAATAGAAAATTCCTATCTTGCCCTTTAGCAATTGAATGCCTTTCTGCCCCTAACATGGATCTATCCTTGGTTTTGCAGAGAGAAGAGAAGAGGAGGATTTTGAAGAGAAGAAAGCTCTTAAAAAAAAAATTAAAGAACTTAAATTTCTCGATTCTAAAGTTGCCCAGAACCTTTGTAAGTAGAATATTTTAATACAATTAAATTAGTAAAAGTACTAGAGCTGGTTTCTTTAAATTACTTCATTTACTTTTTGATTTATTTTTTATGTTATTTTAAAATAACTTGCATAATAAAGTCAGAGATAACTTTAGGCAACTTATGGTTTAAAATCTTCAAAAGATAAATGCATATTATGAAAGAAAACTGTTTAGAATGAAAATATACCTTCCATAACTGAAAAGGAATGTAACCTTTAAATTCTTTTTTTAAATTTATTTTTATTTTTTTAAGATATATTTTATTGATTTTCACAGAGAGGAAGGGAGAGAGATAGAGAGCTAGAAACGTCGATGAGAGAGAAACATCGACCAGCTACCTCTTGCACACCCCCCACTGGGGATGTGCCCGCAACCAACATATATGCCCTTGACCGAATCGAACCTGGGACCTTTCAGTCCGCAGGCCAACGCTCTACCGCTGAGCCAAACCGGTTTCGGCTTTTTTAAAATTTATTTTTATTAGTTTCAGAGAGGAAGTGAGAGGGAGAGAAAAATAGAAACATTAATGATGAGAGAGAAACATTGATTAGCTGTGTCTTATATGCCCCCTCCTGGGGATTGAGCCCACAACTCCCCGCATGTGCCCTTGACTAGAATAGAACCCAGAGCCCTTCATCCACAGGCTGTATCCACTGAGCCAAATCTGCTAGGGCAAATTTCCTTTTTTTAAGTATATAAATACGGAAGTAAGTGATGACAAATTTAAAAAAAAAAATTTGTGGTGGATTATTTCTTTTAAGCCTCTGAATCTCTGTTATTTGTAGTACTTGATCACACACAAAGGAGGTTGGAATATTAATGTAAATAAGGAATCATGAGTAAAATGCCTTTCATTATTTCATCTGAACAGTTCAAAGCCTTTCCTCAAAAGTACTAACTGGAAATATTTTAGATTTAATTACTGGTACAGGGAGCTCAATGCTTAGTATTGAATTGTCTTCTTGACTGAATTACTGTTGAAATAGAGGGCAAATAGTTTTGCTTCTAACTCATTTCTAACTGATGCTTTATATGCATCAGATATAGTTCTGCTTGGAACTGAGATAATATCTGTATATAATATTCTCTGATGGTGCAGGTCGGATATAAAGAAAAGAGACATGAACAACTGACATGTCTTTAGTCTGTCTTTCAATTATATATATACTTTAAGTAAGCTTTTAGCAAATATGAATAATTTTTTGTTGTTGTTGAGAGTATAAAGATCCATGCTCTTGATTAAAGAGGGAGGTAAAGCCATGCATGCATAAGGCAGAGTTGACATTCCTTTTGTGAAAGTTCTGGAACTTACTCCATCATAGTCACTGTGATGGAGGGCCATCCCTCTTCTGCAGTATAGGCTGCTGAGATCCTTGTGTTCATCTACAGACATTAATGCTTGCAATTACAGTTTTTGTTTTGTTTTTGGCCACAAGTTGAGTGCTCTTGACAGCCTCTTTCAAGGTAGGTGTAGACTATGTGAGTGGCTTGTGCCAATGATAGTGCTAGTGGAGATGAGGTGACTTTTGTGTGGAAGCACTGAATGGCTGGTGGGAGAAATTCTAGTCTTTCATCCATAATAGCAGTCAGAATGGAGTTCATCATCCTGATAAGAGGTTAATAAGTTAGAGAGCCCTCTCTTTCAGATGTGTGTGATGACATGTAGTCTGATTTAAAAATAAATTTTTGTTTTTGTTTTGTGCTTAGATCACCATAGGTTTTGTGATTATTACATAATACAGGTATTTCACAGAATTTCTCCCCTTAAAGAAACATCATCTCAGTTTAAAGCACTATTAACTTGGATAATGTTAAAAAGTTTTGTGCCCTGTGAAATGAAAGAGATGGTTATTTTCTTGAAAACTGTCCATGACCTTTATTAAAAATTCCTGGTCTTGATTATATAAATAGCCTCATTATGAGTCCTGAAGAAATATTGAATAGAGTACTTTTTAGATGGGTCAGTCATGGTAAATTAGCTTACATATTAATCTTGAAGGAGAATATGTGACTTGTTGAACAGGGTTCTTTAGTATTATTTACATACTAGAGGCCTGGTGCATGAATTTGTGTACAGGTGGGGTCCGCCGGCCCACCCCCGATTTGGGTTGGGGAGGCTGATCAGGGGTGGGTTAGTATGGGGGAGGGGCCTCGAGTGGTTGGCTGGCCATCGTGCCCCAGATAGGTTCGGGGTGGGGGGGCAACCGAGAGTGGGGCCAGCTGTGGGTAGGGGCCATGGGTGGTTGGGTGAGAGCGATTGAGGCTTGGATCAGGCTGGATGGCCGCTGCAGTGCATGTCATAGTGACTGTCCTTCCAGTCGTTCTGCCATTCGGTCACTAGGCTTTTATATATATAGATTACATATATAGATTATAGAATGTGTTAAAAAGTATTTCAAGTTTAATTTTAATAGTGATTACCTTTATGTGTTAGTGTGTATTAGGCTCTTAGTTCTTACCACAGCTCACAAGATAGGTAGTAGTGCTAACATTGTAGGTAGGACAATCTGGTTGGTGTAGTACATGAATAAGATGACTCATTTTGAAAATTTCCAATAGGTATATAATTTAGAGATAACAAAATTACTTTGTCATAGAGCAGGGTACTATTTTGTTTGCTTCAGTTAGAAAATATGTATCCATTCATATAATTAATTGCTAATCATGTTTTAAAGTATAAGATCAAAAGGTTCAGTATTCAGACTGTGTTATGTTAGGATGTAATCCATACTAGTATTATTTTTGCTCTTTCTGATTGCAACAAATGTCATGATTTAAGTTTAAGCAGCATTAGGTGCCTCTCTCAAGATTTTAATTTCTTAAAGTTTTTTCAGTCATCATAGTTTGATTCACAGCTGTTTTTTTGTTTTGTTTTTTTTGGTCTATGAAATCAGTCTTTTGAGATACTAAATTCTGAGAAGAGAGTATTATGATAGTTACAGGATTCTAGTCATTTAGAAATCCAAGATAATTTTTTAAAGATTTTTCTTAACAGAAATATTCCATAGAATTTTGAGAAAAGGATCTAAAATCACCCATTTATTAATATATACCTGTTTATTTAAAGGTGGGTTAGGTCCCCTGTATTTTTTGTTTACAAGGTTTTTGGCAAAGTCTCTGGGCCTCTCATAAAAGATAAAATTCCAGCCACTTCAGGATCACGAGGTGGCTCAGGAGTCCTGCAAAGTTCTTATGCTTTATAGGCTTTTTGGAGGGGGTAGTAGAGCTGTAAAGAAAGGAAACTACAAATTAGCATAAAGGTTTAAATATTTATAAGGTCCCTTGCAGGAAACATGTGACTGGTTCCAAAATCTGCACACTTTACACTCCTTCACTGGCTCAAAGCTTCCCATTGGGATCTGTATAATCACATTTTGAAGGATAAGATGCATGTTAGTAAAAATATTAATTTTAATGAGTCTTTTGGAGGCTTTAATTGAGTTTCATATTCTCAGCAACTTTTAAACATTATATAATAAATAAGATTTGTGCTATATTCTGAATAGTGTGTTTTGTATTAGGCCATTTTTCAACCCTTTTGTATATTTTTTGCTCTTAGTTATAATAAATGTTTTCCACAAAATAATTTATTAATAAACTATTAAAAAACTATTTCAATTTTCTTCTAAATAGTGCATTTAATATGCATGCTCTTTTAGTTATAGAATAACATCTGGAAGTAGTGAATGAATTATAAATATAGAAGAAAGTAAAGGAATAAAGTATTGTATATCCGCAGAGTAAACTTTGAATATCATACTTTATTCTTTCAGTGCTTGGTTGAATGTGGGTTCCCCATTTTTGGTGTTTCTAAGGCAGGCAGTGGCATACTGTGGCTTTTCAGCCAAATCTTATCTGTTGCCCGTTTTTTTGAACAAGGTTTTATTGGAACTTAATCAGCATATTTATTTACACATTGTTATGGCTGCCTTTGTGCTATAAGAGCAGAGTTGAGAAGCTGTGACAGAGACTGTGTGGCTCACAAATGGTAAAATATTTACTGTGCTGTCGCTCGAGCATGGGTGGGGTACATCCGTCCAGTGGGCCTGTAAGGCCCTCAAAATCATTTGGTCTGGCCCTGCCAAAGCATTAGGGGCAGGTTAATTAAATGTTTGACCAAATACAATAGAACAGGCTACTTTTTAATTTGATAATTTTGTGTGGCCCGAGAATGATGTTATAAATATCCAAATGGCCCTTGGCAGAAAAAAAAAGTTCCCCACCCCTGCTCTAGAGATGTATGGTGGCCCTACTTAAATACATACCTGTTCTGTGATGTACTATTTTACTTTTCCACCATTAGTGTTTGAATGTTCTCAGTATATGACCTCCCAAATGCTTGATGTTTTATAAGGAACTATCTAGTGTGGCTTTTATTATTTTTAAGTTTTTATTATCTTTGAATTTTTTTGAGCCTTCTTGATCTGATGTTCTGTGTATCTGTAATTCTGGAAGATTATCTGATATTTTCTGTTCATATATGTTCCTTTCCTATTCTTTTCTGATTTCCTTTTTTTTAGGTATCATTACTAATCTTTTATATCTCATAAACTTGTATTTTTCCATCTCTTTATTTTACACTTTGAATTTTACACCTTTTTTATTTTACACCTTTTTTACAGTCTTTTATGTAATATATTTTCTTTGTTATCTAATTATGTATATTTCATATGTTCAATTTGTAATTTTATTAGTTTATTTATACATATGATTTCTAAAAATTCCATATTGTTTCATTAAATCTTTTTGTTTCTTTTTAGTAATTTCTTTTGTTCCTGCCCCGTGTTTCAAACTTTTCTTTCATTTCTTTAGTTATTTTCTCTTAGGATTTCTGCTTTTCTTACTTTCAGGAGAGCTCAGAAATGCATTTCCTTTTAAGATTAAAAATATATATTTTTATATCTCCTTCTCTCTTGTAAGCATCTCTCCGCCCTATTGCCTGAAATGTAAAACTATAATTTCTTTCTCTCTCAATACTATATTATGCCTTAGAGGAATTCTGTGCTTTTTATTACTACTATTTAATGGAATATTTTGTTGTTGTTTCCATAGACTAGATTTCTTGAGTGGAATTTCCATTTTCTCAAATGGAAATAATGATTTAATAATTTTAAGAATTCTTATTAATCTTACTCAATTTTCAATTTAGATTATGTTTTAACAATCTGTTTTCTAAGTTTGCTTATTCCTGAGGTTTAGCATGTTACTTTATTTTGGTCATTTTTTCCTTATTCTTTTAACTGAGTTTATACACATTTTACCCATTTTCCTCTTTAGACCTCATGGTGTGCGAAGTGAAGATAAGTGCTCTGTGAATTTTGAAGCAGGATTATCTTCCCAGCTTCCTTGCTTTTTAATTGCTTCAAGTCTTTTGTCATTAGTGTTTTTCTTTCCTGTTGACAGATATCAATCTTTGCATATGTCTTTCGTTGTTTTTTTATGATTAAGAGGTCTTTCACCATAAAAAAGCTAATTTGTCATGCTAATTTTCTTTTAGTATCCTTTCTGTTGTTACTATTTACATTTAACTTTATAATCATATGCAACCTGTTTTGTACATGATGTTCACATTTAGATTTTATTACCTTGCCATAAATTATTCAATTCCTCTTGAATAATAGTAATTATTATTTGTCATATTTTTGTACTTTTTAATGTCTACCATGGGAGTATTCTTTAATAATTACATTAATCTCTCTCTATTACAATATCATTTAGATCCTTTATTCCACATTGTTCTTGGGATATTAAGGATTGCATATATTCATATTTTATAGATAATTTATAACACTATTATACCAGACTTATGACTATTTCTGAAATGTGTGAATGAAGCTAGTGATAAAAACATAGATGGTGCTTTGTTTTTTAGCTGTAGATGCTACATGGTAACCTCAGGAATCTGGAATACAGCCTTCTTCCAAGAAAGATGTAGATCACATTTTCTGAGTATTTATGAAAAGTAGTGTCCTTTTTTGAAAATATTTACTGCCCTACCCAGTGTGGCTCAGTTGGTTGAGCACTGTCCTGTACACTGAAAGGTCCCAGGCTCTATTCCTGGTCAGGATACATGTCCAGGATTTGGGTTTGGTCCTCAATATAGGAGGTAACCAATAAATCCTTCACTCCTTCCTTTCCTCCCTCCCTCTTTTTCCTCCTTCCTTGTCCTTCTAAAATCAATAAAACATTGAAAACTACAAAATGATATAAGCAGTATATAAAATAAATTAGTTGGCTAGTGTTTAGCAATTCCTGAGTATGTTCAAGAAGTGACACCTATCACTGGAGAGAAGAAACAACACAAAAATAATAGAATAGGGGGAGAACAGCATTGCATTAAATCTAATGCTGTGAAAATATCTTATATACATCAGTAGCTTTTGAGATCATTGTGTTTTAACAGTAGATATATAGGTATCAAAAATAAAGTAAATAATAATTAAAATTTTCGGTAATAACATTATCCCATATAATTTATTTGGATAGTTTTCAATGAAAATTTATTTTCTAATATTGGACATTTAAGTTTTAGTTACATGCAATGGCTAGTACTCTGGCATAATGGCTGAACAGTAAAGTATTATAACTTATAAAAGTGTTAATGCCTTGCTTAGCAGTTTCGTTAAAATATTTTTTCTCCACCCAGCTGGTATGGGTCAGTGGTTAAGTGTTGACCTGTGAACCAGGAAGTCACAGTTCCATTCCTGATCAGGGCATGTGCTGGGATTGCAAGCACATGCCCTATTAAGGGGCTTGCAGTAGGCAGCCGATCAATGATTCTCTCTCATCATTGATGTTTCTATCTCTCTCACTTTCTTTTACTCTTTGAACTCAATAAAAATTTATAAATTCTTTTTTCTGAACTGTTTAGTAGGGCTAGAAAATATACAAGCTAAAAACATACATGTTTCTAGTACAAATATTACACGTACATCTTGGGGTTTTATGGTTCTTTTCTTTATAATGTGATATTTTATAGTGAACCAAACATATTTCATTTTAATCATTTGAAAATTGTCACCATTCCTATGATAAGCTAATAACTAATCATTAAAAATCAACATAGAAATCAGCATAAAATATAGTACTATCATTTAAACACCCGGTCTTAAACTGGAAAAGTATAAATTGTGCTAATGAAAGTTTCCCCCACAGTAATTTTATTAAATGTTTTTAAATATCTCATTTTATGAATTGTTTTTGAATTTACATATAGAACTATATCTCAAACTCTTTTCTTAACCTTATTTATTATGAACTAATTCCCTCCTTTTAGCAATCTTCCTGAGCTCTTTCCGGGTGCCATACGAAGAAATCAAAATGATGATATTGGAAGTGGATGAAACTCAGTTGGCAGAGTCTATGATTCAGGTAAACAAGAAGCAGAGAGCTTAAGTTCCAATATTTCATTGCAAGCTTCTCATTAAACAGAAAACTGTAAGTGAAGCAAAATTCTTAAACCAAATCATTCAACTGGAAAATCATTGCTACATAATTAGTTTTACCATAACTTCTGCATTGCCAGGAGATAAAACTCTGAATGTTCTTTTAACTGCAAACTAAATATAATGCTATCAAAATAATTACATTTCAATTATTTTAAATGACTTTTCTGAATGTCAGATTGTTTAATTTTACATTTTTGTTTTTGTTACAGTCAAAACTAGTAATATGTTAATTTAAATTTATTTCTATAATAGTTTGGAGTGTTTTAGAGTTTTTCTTAGGCATTTATGTCTTCTAATGTTGTATTATTATTTAATACTAGAGGCCTAGTGCAATAAATTTGTGCATGGGGAGGTCCCCTCAGTCCAGCCTGCATCCTATCCAGTCTGGGACCCCAGGGATTGGGCCTAAAACAGCAGTTGGACAACCCTCTCACAACCCAGGACTACTGGCTCCTAACTGCTCACTTGCCTGCCATTTTGGTCACCCCCAACTGCACCCCCTGCTGGCCTGGCCACCCTCAACTGTCTCCACCTGCCGGCCTGATTGTCCCTAACTGCCCCCGTTTGCTGGCCTGGTTGCCCCCAATTGTCCCCCCTAGCCAGCCTGATTGTCCCTCACTGTCTCCCAACCCCCGCAGGATTGGTTGCCCCCAACTGCGCCCTTGCTGGCCTGGTGGCCACTAACTAACCCCCCCCCCCCCCCCCCCCCCGCCACACACACACACACACACACACAGGCCTGGTTGCCCCTCACAGCCCCATGCCAGCCTGGTGGCCCCCAACTGTCCTCTCATGCTGGCCTGGTTGCCCCACATAGCCTGCTGTTCAGTTGTTTGGTCATTCCTCACTAACACCCCTGCCGACCTTGTCGCCCCATGCAGCCTGCTCTTCAGTCATTACTGTGAGGGCATCCTGACCAATTTTCATATTACCCTTTATTAGTATAGACTAGAGGCCAGATACATGAAATTCATATTACCCTTTATTTGTATAGACTAGAGGCCAGATACATGAAATTCATGCAAGGGCTTTGCCCCCGGCCCCCCAGCTGCAGCTTTGTCCTAAAGGAATGATGTCTGGTTCAAATTAGCATATTTCACTTTTATTATTATAGATAAGGTCGAGGGAGATTTATTTTTATTTCAGAGTAACCTTATTGACAATCCCTACTAGGGTCATTTGTGCTCTTATGCATACTACAGATAGTTTGCATAGTGTTCTGAATTTGTTCAGAAGGCTGGAAGATTTTTAAAACGATTTGTATTCACACTATTATTGCTGGTGGGGTACCAAAGTTACATGCTGAATTCCACATAAAGCAACAATAATACAGATATAGATAGAATTTAAAATTGAAGAATCAAATCACAAATTATATAGCCAGAGGATGATACCTTTAGTTAACTATCTTGTATTTTATAATGGAAGGGTAATGATGTTTTAGGAGTGAAAAGAAAACAAGGATTATTTGTTAGTATCAACAAATCATTAAGATTATTCTAGACACTTTAATTAATCAGGAAATGGTAACCTTAGGACCTGTTCTTGCCTATCTTCTCTTGTCTCCTAAATGTGGAGTTTGTAATCCCATTAGTGATTTCTGCTATGAGTCTCTGAGACATAAACTACTTAATTCAGCAATGCTTTTTCTCTAGCCATTTCTTTTTACTAGAACATTGTCTTTTTTCTTTTTCCTTTAAAAAAAAAATATATATATTCCATTGATTTCTTACAGAGAGGGAGAGAGAGAGATAGAGAGTTAGAAACATAAATGAGAGAGAAACATCAACCAGCTGCCTCCTGCACACCTTCTACTGGGGATGTGCCCACAACCAATGTACATGCCCTTGACTTACCTGGGACCCCTCAGTCTGCAGATCGACACTCTATTTACTGAGCCAAACCAGTTTTGGCTGTTTTTATTATTGTTGATTGCATATGTGCCTTGTTCTTAATTGATTCCAAGGTCCTTAAAGAATTTTTTTTTTAAATTTAAATCATGTTCATAGTTTTTTGATGCATTTGTCAAATATTTATGGAGTTGTTTCTAACTTGCTTACACGAATGGTTTGGATGATCATGCGACTTTTGTTTTGTAGAGATGAAAAAAAGTATTTGCATTGAAATTTGTACTAAAAAAACTTAACTTCCATATAATTTATTAATAAACTAGTAGTCCTGCTCATGAATCCCCCATGTACCAGTAGCTCACCACCGCTCCAGTAGCTCTCCCCTCACTGCCCCACCCTCCTGTAGCTCCGTCCACCTGTGTTCCCCCTTCATAGCTTGCTGCCCTGTCCACTCCCGTAGCTCTCCACCACTCACCTGTCGCTCACTGCCCCACCCTTCTGCTGATCCGTGATCTGGTTGTTACGCAGTCAGTCTTTACATTTCACTGCTATTACATATATATAATATATATAATATATATATTACTACTATAATAATTTACAACAAATTTAGTGGCTTAAAATTACATGAATGCATACTATCTTACTTTTCTATAGACCAGAAGTCTGGCCTGGGTCTTACTGTCAAGGTGTTGGCAGGCTTGAATTTCTTCCCATAGGCTTTAAGGAAGAGAGGGAGGGAAAGAGAGAGGGAGGGAGGAAGGGGGAAAGAGAGAGAGAGAGAGAGAGAGAGAGAGAGAGAGAGAGAGAGAGAGAGAGAGAGAGTTTTTCTTGTTTGTTATTTTCTTTTCCAGTTCCTCATAGCTGACTCCTTCCATGCTCCTCAGCACCTTTCTTCACCTTCCAAGACAGCAATGTTGCCTCTCTCTGTTCCTTTCTTTCATTGTTATATCTCCCTCTCACTTGGTGGTTCTGTCTCCCTCTTCCACTTGTAAAGACCTTTATGATTGCATTGAGTACATCCAGATGATCCAGGATAATCTCCCTATTTTAAGGTCAGCTGAAACTAATTTTTCAGAGGTTCTGGGGATTACATAAGGACATTTTGGGGGAGGTTGAGTCATTATTCTGCCTACCATACTTGATAATATAAAACTAATCTTAATGAATTTAAAATCTAAAACTTTAGTTTGGACATATGCCAAGTCTTTATATAGTAATTAATCTCATGGTACTTGAAGTCTCATTTTTTTATTTAAAAATATTCTGAACAGGGCATGGAAAGAGCATTGCTTTTTAATAATCATCATTTGGTAGGTTTTGTTCACTATCCTGATTTCACTTTGGTGTGTTTGTATTAGTTTATTCATACATAAAAAGATGTCAGTATTGATGTCATTTTCCCACCTCATTCTTTACCCATTTACATTTGTCCCATCAGTCTTTTACTAATTTACTAGAGCCCAATGCACGAAGCTTTGTGCAAGAATGGGCCTTCCTTTCCCTGGCTGCTGGCACCCCCTTTCTGATCCAGCCCCGAGGCCACGTCTTTGCTCTGGCCCCTGAACCACCTCTTTCCTCTCTGGCCCTGCCTTCTCAAGCTGCCCAGAGGCCCAGAGCAACTTGGGCAGTGTGAAATGCCTGTATCGTCACCATGGCGACAATGCAAGCATGCCACCCTGCCCCTGGCCACTCAGTACCTATATATGCAAATTAACCCACCATCTTTATTGGGTTAATTTGCTACTCCTGATTGGCTGGTAGGTGTCACAAAGGTACGGTCAATTTGTATCTTTCTCTTTTATTACTGCAGATTTAGGGGTGTGTGTGTGTGTGTGTGTGTGTGTGTGTGTGTGTGTTTGCATGCCCATCACCATGTGCAGGGCACTATGTTAGGCTCAATCAGAAACAGACTTAACATTTTTGGAATTGATAGTGTGGCAAGGGTGATGATTATATATATATTACATAATCAACCATCTGACTGTCTGGCCAGCTCTCTGGCCAGTAGGTATGATGCGCACTGATCACAAGAGGGCAGATCCTCAAAAGCAGGAGCTGCTGAGCTGTGATGACTTTACAGCAGCGGTCCTCAGGTGATGCACCTCGGAATTAGACATCCCTCAATTCCACCTTTGGCCATAGGTTATGTTGTTGAGGCACTGAAAGCTCCAAATCTGGTTTACTGCTGAACTATGATGATAGCAGATGCCCTTTGAGCTGCAGTGAAACCCCAGGTGCGGCCAGCCTGGGAGGGACCACAGGATGTTGGCTCCAGGGCGTGTCCAGCCTGTCTCAACCCATCCTACCCGCTGCCACCTTCCAATTAATTTCCTTTCAATGTGCACAAATTTGTGCACTGGGCACTAGTATAAAATACAAATACAAAACAAACATAGCTGATTTATGATACATGGTATGTGAGGGGAATGCCCGGTGTGTGTATAGATAAGGGCACTTGAAGGTTGAACACAATGTAGATGTGGAAAAGGCCAGAGGTCTGAGTGAGTAAAGTAGTGAGGGCAGGTATTCTGGCAGTTATAAAACCCTGAGCTGTGAGGGAAATACTGGCGGTGTGTGGACAACTGTGGAGAGTTTAGTTTGATAGGATCTTAGGATTTGTGAAGTGTATTAGGAGACACACAGCTAGGTTGGGGGTGTGCTCTTGCAAATCACATAGTTTTACTACGTTGGAAAGCAAAAATACTGAAGTGAAAAATTAATACATTTCTGATAAGATATTAAAATTTAATTATATATTAACTAAAAATATTCAGGGGGATTGGATGGTTACAGAATGCTGGAGAAATTTAGAAGCCTGATGTAATAAATAATTAAAATAATCCAGCTGTCAACTAGAATGATTAAAAGAAAATATCATTTAGCTTTTTGGTCTAAGGCATTTCTTCTAGGAGAAATTTCTATTTATGTGGAAAGATCATATACTACTTGTATGTTTTTATTCAGTTAGTAGTTTGAATAGTGACTGTTTTTTAGGGATGATCTTAAATTGTGACTTTTTATTTGTTTTTGGCCAGCCAACCAAGTTTTTAATTCAAAGATACACAGTGAGTCAAAAACTTGTTCTTTGGTTTAACTACTTTGATATATAATATTTTCTAACATTATTTTTAACTAATAACACCTTTGGGGATTTAGTCCCCCATTAATATGTATAGCATGATATAGGCTTAATTTAAATTTGTACTTGAATTTGGGCTTGCAGAGAATATACTGATACTATAATTTGGGATTGTGATCACCAACCACATTTTTTTCTTCCTTTTCTTAATTTTATTATCAATATACTAACTTGTTATAACATTATTATAGCCAATTATATTTGGACACAGAAGGATCTATATAGCGTTTGTCCAAAAGATTATGTAATCATTTAAGTTTTAACAAGGAAATATATTTATATATATTTCCTTATATATATATTGGAGCATTTCTTTTTTCTGTATGTGTGGCTTGGGAAAGGCTGTGCCTGGACAAAGAATCAGAATGACCACAGGAATCTGTGATTTCTACACTGCAGATAACAGAGGCAAAGGGCATTACAGCCACAGGCACTTAAGGATCTGTATATGTTTTTGCTTTTATCTGCAAGGCATATCATTCTTTGTCTTCAGTGCTTTTTTAAATGTTCTTTCACATCAGAAGAATTACTTTGTCTTTGTTTTAGGTATCTTTATTTCTATTATTAAAATCATATTCATACTGGTTAAATCTTGCAAGAACTGTCATTAAAATTTTCTTGATTTCTTTTTGATTCTTTTCCTTGCCATTTAGTAACAATATGATAATTTCTTTTATTCCTGTAAGTGAAATGTTAAAATATGTTTGGCTTCGCCTGAAATCTCTGACATTTAATTCCCTAAAGCTGAAATGTAATTGATCACATTTATCCAGGTGAGAAAGCTGTTTCTTTGGTATAGGTTGAGTTCTTCTTTCTCAATTATACAGCTAATCAAATAAACATTCAGTAGTGCTTGATTTGAATCTATAATAATGCTGGATAGAGAAGAAGGAAATTGCTTTCAAGATGCAGAGAATACAGCTTAAGGCTTTGCATAACAGGGAGGTTACCTAGAAATACAACTAAAGATTAACTTTTTTACTGATTTTCATCCCAGAGTTTATTAATAAATTTTCCTAGAATTCAAGAAGCACATTTGTTGAAGATATTTTCTTTTGGTTTTCATTTTTAGAACTTATTAAAGCATCTTCCTGATCAAGAACAATTAAATTCACTGTCTCAGTTCAAGAGTGATTATAACAACTTAAGTGAACCTGAACAGTTTGCTGTTGTGGTGAGTACTCTTAGTGTTAACTCTCTTTTGAGGGGATTTTAAAATAATTAATACTGTGGAAAACAGGAAAGAAAATGTAAAATTTTTCTTATCATTATTACTCACAAACCTTTAATGCCCATTTATTTTTAACCTAAGGATATTTATGGGAAATTATCTTGATTTAAAATATGTATTGGAATTCTAGCCTTAATAAAATCCAAGGAGTCTTTAAAAAGTATACACATGATTTCACATTCTCTATTTGATGTCAAAATGTAAAATAAAATTATGACTTATTCTAGAGCTATGTATTCCAACATATTGCAAGAGTAGCTTCAGTTTCTGGTTCTAATCACTCACTCCAATTCATCTCATAGTTTAGATTTGAAATTACAAATATATTTTGTTTTGTTTTGGTTTGGTTTTTAGCAATGAGGTTGAAAAATGAATACATTTAAAAAATCTTCAGAAACCTTGATAATCATCTTGTTCCAGCTTTCTATTTATAGAAGTTGGGGTCTGAAGAGGTGAGATAACTTGCCAATGTTATGCATTACCTGTGTTGCAACTTAAAATTAAGATTTTTATCAAGTTTTTTTTTTCTTCAGATCTTTTCTCCTACCATTAAATCACTATTTTGAGGTTGGTTATATACTCAGTTATCATGATGATACTTTAAAATAGTATTTCATTTTTATTATATGGTTATTTATTTTTTTCTTTTCTTCAGTTATGTTATTACTAACCTCCAGGGACATGGTGAATTTGCATTTGATAAAATTTTGAAAATTTGGGTTGACTAAAGGACTATGTCTTCATACCATATTTTGCAGGCATTTGCTCTAAAATTCCTTAGTGTCTCTTCATAAATCCATTCTACTTAGCCCTCTCTTTAGTACCTCCTCCTAACTCTTGTTCCCCAAGTTCACAAAACTTGTAAAACACAATAAAAAAGGCAGGGATTTTCCTTTAATAGTTTTTTTTTAATTATAAAACTTTCTAGCTTACTATTAATATATTTGCAAAAATGCTTTTTAATTTTTTTATCCAGTTCTTCAGGCTACTCTTCCCCTCCCCCATCTTGTATTTTCTTGTTTGCTTTATTTTCTATTAATCTGATCACTTTCCCTTTCTCCTAATCCGTTTATGATGTTCTTATCATTGAGAATAAGTGAATAAGGGAGCATTGCATTAAATTTTAAACCACAGACTACTTAGAGTTTTGATCTTTGGCCTTTTTTTTTTAACTTATTAAATGAAAATAAAAAAATGTAAAATAATAATTTTCAAATATCTCTCACATATCTTAAGTCTTAAACACATATAGGTTTGTATGAAAATGTTTATTTAACTAATAACTTCTGTTGGATATCACTAAAATATTTAAAACTATTCCCATATTCTAGTGATTGTCACAGAAGAATGAACTCAAACTAGCAAATATTTTAGGTTTATTTAAAATAGCGAGGTTATGCTCTCCTTTAAAAACTAGTGTTGAGCCGAAACCGGTTTGGCTCAATGGATAGAGTGTCGGCTTGGGGACTGAAGGGTCCCAGGTTCGATTCCAGTCAAGGGCATGTACCTTGGTTGTGGGCATATCTCCAGTAGGGGGTGTGCAAGAGGCAGCTGATTGATGACTCTCTCTCATTGATGTTTCTAACTCTTTTATCTCTTTCCCTTCTTCTCTGTACAAAATCAATAAAATATATTAAAAACAAACAAACAAACAAACAAACAAAAACTAGTGTTGAAATCAAAGAGCTGTGATTGACAAGCAGTGTACTCATAGGGGCAGATCATTAAAATAATTATATTTTCAGATACTAGTGCTAGAGGTTATAGTCTTGATTTTAAGGCAGTGATGGACCACTTTCCTTTTAGGACATGTCAACTCAAACTTGATCTTGAATCTATTCATTCCATCACAAGTCATACCTGACTGCAAATGTGGAAAGAGTAATGCTGTTGAAAAGTATCTGTTATGGACAATATGAACAGTGCTTTATCATCTGTTGACTATGACTATTCTAGAACATATTGTTTTAAGTTCTGGTTTGTGTAGTACTAACATTTTAAAATATGATTGTTTTGGTGATGAAAGGGGAAATAAAGTTTAGGAAAAGTGAAAACTATATATATATACTAAAGTCCCAGTGCATGCAAATTTATGTAATGGATGGCGAGGGGGCGGGGTGTCCAGGAGCCTTCAGGGGTGGAGTCAATCTGGTGATCAAGGAAGGCAACATCCCCATCACACCTCTGCTGCTGCCACTGCCGGCAGTGCAAGCCTCGGTCAGCCCTGGTTACCTGAGCCCCGGGAAGTCCTGGGTGGCGGGCCAGCCACCATCAAAACCTTGCCTGCACCTCGGGCCCGCCCTGGGTTAGCTTGGGACTGAGGGTGGGTTCAGCTGAACCGCACACCTGCCAATCCCCGGTGGGCCTGAAAGGATTGGGGGACTTTGGCGGGGTTGAGGGGACTAGGCGCTGCCATTTTTGTGATGGCGTGTTGGTCAATATGCATGTTTCCTCTTTATTAGATAGGATATTGAAGAACATTGCTATATATATATATATATATATATATATATATATATATAGTCAAATAGCAATGTTCTTCAACTTTGCCTCTTTCCATTTTAACCTTTTGGCATTCTCAATTTAGTTTCACCTACTTCTCAAATCTCTCAATGGAGAAGAAATCCTGCTAAAGTTTCAAAAAATACTTGGGGAATACATACACACACAAAAAGATGTAGAGCCATGCAGAATGCCCATAGTTTTCTGTTCTTCTTTTCAGATTAAAAGCTCAATATTAAGTCACTAATTCATTAGCATATGTGTTCAATTTACCAATATTGTATAAATAATATAATTTGGTGGGTATAGGAAATTGATTATAATTATGTATATTTCTGAAAGCTTCCCATAATATCAAGTTTCTGTTTCAAGTAGTAAAATTAATGAATGTATGTTGCATTATGTTATAGAAGATGGGTTATTAAATTTGAGGTAATTTAAACTGCAGATTCCTATGTGACTTTTATATATTAGAAAAACATTTACTTCTTGACTAAACCTATATTTAAAGTGCTAATCATTTCAACCTGATAAACCAGAGTCATAAACAAGGAATTGTCATAGGTGGACATAGCATTTGCAACCCCAAATAGGGCCAAAGTTTGCCTTTTCATTTGTTTCCCCATAGACTTGTGATTAGCTCTGTTTCATTTTCAGATTCTATAGATTGATATTGTGATTTCTAGCATTGTTTTTATTTTAATAAAAATCAATTGAAATTCTGCAGTTATATTACTTGCTGGTGAGTTTACTATTTCTTTTATCCATTAATTTGATTCTTGTAAACTATAGATTTTGCAGGTGTGTTGTATACAAACATACACTCAAATTTGATACAATAATGGATAGAGTCCTTACAGTAGTTTGCATTATATAATCAGCTTTAATTTTATCCAATAACTAGGCAAAAAAGTAAATAAGCTATACTACGACTTTAGCATTTGTTTATATTGTTTTGTCTTTGATAGAAAGACATTGTGCAAAAGTAACACATTCAGTACGCTAGAAACCAGAGTCCATTAAACACCAATTAGAATATGTAAGATATAACATGTAAATTAAAATTAGGGGTTTCTTATCTTTGTTTACTTTACACACAACTTTCCAGGGCTGTGTTCTATAGAATTTTATATACATACTATAGGCCCAATGCATGAAATTTGTGCAAGGGCCTCAGCCCTCACAGTCGCGGCAGCTTGCCTTGGCCTTGGCAGCCCTGGTTTCTTATGGAACGACCTTCTGGACATCCTTCAGGACGTTTGGTTGTCTGATCTAATTAGCATATTATGTTTTTATTATTATAGATATATTATTCAGAAATATTATGTCACTATTCATTAAATTATATATCCTTGAGGTGTTCTTTCAACCAGTAAAGCATTTGATATGTCTATATTCACTCCACATCCCTATAATATGAAGTTCACATACACTTTTATTTTCCCTTGAAATTAGATTTATTTATTTATTTATTTTTTAATGCTGATACTATTTCAATTTCTAAAGGAAAGTCTTCATGCATGAGTACCAGACAGGTACTTTTATGAAACTAAGGGTTTAGTTGCTCATCTGCTTTTTCTGATAATTCAGAATTTTTAGGTATCTTCCTGAACTGATACTTGCAGTTCTTATGATTTGAGCATTAGCCAGTCTGATCAGCACACCACTCAGAGTTCTAGCCTGTCCCTGTTTATACATGGTAGAATTGACATGGTGGTTCTTAATATCTGGTGCCTATAGAATTGGTATCCAATGCTATGAGTTCAGGGCCTAAAACAAATTATATTATTCACTTGTTAGCTGATTACATTATATGTCCTATATTTTCTAGGAGATTTTGGCATATGAAAAACAATCTATCCAAAATTCTGGACTAGAGGTTCTGGTAAAATGGTATAATAGAGGAATGCTCTGGAGGTGCTCCATCTCCGTATTTTTGTGTATGACTTGAAATGAATGAGAGTCTACATGCTGAATTTGTTAGGTTCTGAGCAGAGGACACTGAGTACTGACTGATATGCTTAACTTGAAAAATTATTTTCCTTGGACAGTACAGAACAAAACTTTTGTTGATAAATCAGTTCCTATTTGGCATGATCTAACCTCATGCTTTATTCAACTTAACTTTCTATTAAAAAGATGAAGAAATGAAAATATACTTCCTAGAAACTCCCTCATTAGACTAATTAGTCGCCTGCTTTTTTCTTGGGTTCCTTCTCTCTTGTCAGCCCCTACACCTCCTCATTTATCCCTCCAAAATGTTGACTACTTACCAAAGATTGGTTCCCATTGAGTAGAACCTAGTTTTGGTTGTATGACTGCAGTTTAAAACATATTTTCAGTCTTTCTTTGATCACTAAACCAGCAACTAAAATCACTGTGCACACTGTGGCGTGGTTTAACTGTGTGAGAAATAAGATATGTAAATATTCAGTGGGATC